ATCGCTTGACTGTAAAGCTCCCGGCCAGCCGTGTAATTACAACGGCCGGCCCGGGAAGCTGCTCGTCAGGCTCCACTGTCTGCTCGTCACGGACGAGCAGACGAGTGGATTTTCGAGCCCTGTATATATATATATAAATATATATGCACAGTATATATGCACACGAGTTATATAAAAATTGCACATACTTTGTTGTCATTTCCAGGTTACTTTATTCGCCTCCTTCTCTGAATTCCTGAACCATGTTTTGGAAACCAAGGCCACTAGATATTTTTGTCTAGAAGTAAATAAATGATGGAACATGAATCCAGTGAGTGCTACAGTGATATGAATTCCTAAAACATAGCTAATTAGTAAAATAAGCCATTGTCTTGGTAGCTGCTTCCTCCTGTATTTGAACTAGGAACAAAAATGACTGATGCCAATATTATGTTTATAGAACCAGACATAAAAATAGTAACATAACCCTTTTTATGTTGGGCAGGTCTGAATTGTCTTTCCGCTTGAGAACGCAATCATCCCATGGAATGATCTTTTATGTATCAGACGAGGAAGAAGATAACTTTGTAACTCTTTTCCTTTCTGATGGACGTCTACATTTAATGTTCAATGTTGGACCTGACAAACTGACAATTAAAAGCCAGGAAAAGTATAATGATGGAGTGTGGCACACTGTAAGTAGCCATTAAGCATTCGGTACATCAGGCGAAAAAAAGCAACATCTGATTAGTTGGGCAACACCTCCACCCTTCTTTGTAGAATTTTTATAAATAAGTCTCATTGCTATGTTAAGATGACACTAGATGGGATTTCTAAGTATCTCTAATCTGTTTTTACCTTCTTAACTGGTAAAGGGAAATAGACCCCTTAGGGCTTGTTCACACCAAGCGCGTTCCAGGAGCAGAGCAGATCTGTTACAGACTGGATCAAAACTGCGTCCAATGTATTCCAATGGTATTTTGGGCTCTAGTTCACACCGCAGCATTCAGTTCCAGAGCATGTAAAAAAATTGCAGCAAGCCCTATTTTACCTGCCCTGGAATGCTCTGAAACGCATGCAAATGCATCAAAACCGCATGCAAACGCCCTGGAAAGCACTGAAACCCCATTTTAAACTTTAAAAAAACAAAAAAATATATTATTTTTTTTAACCAAAAACGACCCTGGAAGCATCAAAAACGCGGCAAAAAACGCAGAATAACACACTGCACTGTGTGTGCAGAATCTCATGCAGATATGGTCTGCATTTGGTGTTAACAAGGCCTTAACAATTACTGTACCTAGCAGGAGAATTTAGTAACATTCTCCAGTACCCAATCACAGACTAGTTGTGCAGGTCCAGCTGAAGAGATACTTTACTGCACATGAACAACAGTTTAGCAGATGCTTCAGCTAGTAAACCATCCAAACGGTCATGCTTTACAAAAGAGGTTGAAATTAGCCAGGTAAGCATGCAGAAAGTGCTAAGAGCTTTATCTGCAAGTAAACAAATTAATATGTCATATTTTCTATTTAACTAAATGAAAATAAACTTTTTTTTTTTTATTCCTGAACATAATACAGAAAGAAAAATTATATACAAAACAATATACATTTCCTTTAACTTCCAGGACAAGATGTTTAAATGTCATGACGTTTAAGTGTTGCAGGCATTTATACACAGCATTTTCTTTTTATGTTAGAAATTCAAAGTATAAACATGATTTATCACTGAATGTATAAAAAAAAAGTCTTAGTTATTTCATACAGCAAAGTTATATAATATACAGTATTTGTAAAATTAGCCTACTCTTCCTTCTTTGTTTAATCATTTATGTTAACTTGTCTATTTTTTGTGCTTAGGTAATATGTGTCCGTGACATGAACAAAGGTAAAATGATTATTGATGGATTACGGGCCTATGAAGACAGTCTTCCTACCACTGACAGGGTATGGAGAGTGGAGGCACCACTTTATTTAGGAGGTGTAGCTCCAGAGAGAGCTATGAAGAATGTAGAGGTAATGACCCTCTTGGGAAAAAATGGAGGGATAAATGGTTAAAAATTCACATGATGTAGTAGTTCTAATTTATTTGTGTATATCTATAAACTAGAAGTAGATAGTTACCACACAGTAAGGATGAATAGGCCAAACTACATAATAAAGATACATGGGAGAATTGTGCATGCCCTTCTAGACTCTGGGAGCCTGGTTATCCTGGTCCATACTTGGCTCATTGACCCTGAACAGCACCAGGTTGGAGTAGTTTGTCCATAATGTCTGTAGGAAGTACCCCACAGTGTTAGTAACCTTTAAAACCAGCCTAGGAACTGTTTGCCATTAAGTGGCTGTGTCTTACCTTTGCACAATGTAATCCTGGGGAGAGATTTGTAATGTTTTGGTGCTGTGAGGAGGAAAAGGTCCCTGAACCTGACAATACCATAGGGTCCATGGAGTGGACACCTGGTCCATAACTGTGATGATAGTGCTGCAGGGGTGATCACTGACCAAATTGTAGCTCTTCCCCTGCCAGAGAAACCCCCAAGGTGCTCAATATGCCAGAGCTAGATGGACAACTTTGGAACCACCTAATTACATGACCCTACTCTTGCAAAAGCATGGGTTAATATGTGAGTATGAACAATAAGAACCCAGTGCTAGAGTTAAGAATGTGTTTACAAAATGTGATTGCAGTCCAAAATGAATTGTTGTACCAGATTGATAACATTTGTGGAACAACTTTTGGTGCGTGGGCCTTATAGGATGCAGTTGGATTTGGCCCATGCACATCTGCTGGGGGCATATAAAAACCAAAGAACTAATTTTCCAACACTCCAAAAAATGCAGACATGAATGACTATTGTTAGTCTCTTCCTAAGTGTCAAATGTCAGCCCATATGCCCTGCTGGTTCCATTGCCTTTGATTGGGGTTCCTTTTGAGCGAATCACAATGGACCTGATAGTGACAGTGGTTAGGTCTGTTAGAGGCCATCAGTATTTTCTGGTGGCTATGTACTAAGCTCACTGGTATCCAGAAACTGTTCTTTTAAGGAACACTTCCTCCAAATTCATCACCAGAGAGTTGTCCACATGCTTATCTGCACAGGGATAACAAAGGAAGTCCTGATGGATCAACAGACTCCAAACTGTTGAACATTAAGAAGTTTCATACTTCCGACTACCACACTCAAACAGATGGGTTTCTTAGAAAAGTTTAATAAAACCCTAAAGTTTTCTAAAGAAAGTAATGGATACAAATGGGAGAGGTTATGATTGCCTATTGCCATATATGTTGTTTGCAATTAGATAAGTCCCACAGTCTTACACAGGGTTTTTTCCACTTTAACTGTTGTATGAGACTCACCCCTAAGGGTTGCTAAATATTGCAAAGTAAACTTGGGAGAACAAGACTACTCCCTACAAGACTGTGGTAGTGCATATCTCATCTGTGCAAGAGGGAACTGTTTTGGTTATGCCTCTGGTCTGGAAACACCTGAAGCAGGCTCACAAATCCAAGGGTCAAGTATACAATAGGTGAGCAAAGGTTCAAACTATGCACCTGGGATCATTCTAGTTCCCATGGTGAAAAGTAAGTTCCCGACTAAATGGCAGGGACCCTATGAGATATCTGAACAAGTTACCAGGCTGCACAGATATAATTAAACATGACATTATCAGGGACCACAAGGTTCAAATTGGGCTTAAAGTGACATTAAACCCTCAGATTTTTTAACATAAAACAATACTGTAATGTGTGAAGTGTAGTCACAGCGCTAAAGGTTTTTTGATAAATGTAAAAAAATATTTTATAAATATATATGAAACAACCTGAATTGACAACCCTGTGAATAAGTCTTCAAAGAGACCTACCACTGTGGGTGTGAAGTACCAGAAAACAGGTGTCCATTAAAGACTAGAAAAATGTGAAAAAATGCTAATGTGCAAACATTCGAAATAAAAACTGGATTCCCCACTAAAATAGGTGAATAAATATTGTAACAGAATATCACAATGTAAAAACCGTAAAATCTAGTATATAAAGGGTGAACTAGAAAAATATTATTACATCCCATACAATAAATTCATAAAAATGTGAAAAAGTGCAAAATAGCAGTGAGAACAGTGAAGCATATGCACCAGTCAAGCATGTAATACAAATGAAACAATGAAAACCATAAGTCTTTCCAAAAAGTTCAATCCGTGATGTGAATTTAAAAAAATGCACCCAAAAAAATGTATATATATATGTATATATATATGAGCAAAAATTATATATATCAAAAGTTATATATAAATATAAAAGAAAAATAAAGATTATAAAATATAAATGAAAGATAGATTATTCTGGTGAAAGTTCCACAACTCTTCTTCACCCGATCTGGAGCCCCCCAAGCGATGGTTACTCACCAGATGGTGTATGGACAGCAAACCCCTCTCAATAGCTGTAATTCCGGTCCTTCAGCTCACCGATACGTGCAGGGTTCCCCGGCACTATAGCGGATACCCCCAGGTATCCTTACCCGTCGCGGCGCAGTGAGCCCGGTTAGATCCCGACTCCTTTCCCTCGCCAGTTGTAGATGGTATATGGACAGCAAGCTCCTTTCAATGCCCGTCGCGTTGCAGCGAATCCAGTCAAATACCGGCTCCCTCCGCTCACCAGTTGCCGTTGTAATAATCGGCACACATTCAGCGAGCAGTACGATGAGCACAGCCGGCCATGCAGACAGAGGAGGAGGAAGAAGCCATCGCTTGGGGGGCTCCAGATCGGGTGAAGAAGAGTTGTGGAACTTTCACCAGAATAATCTATCTTTCATTTATATTTTATAATCTTTATTTTTCTATTATATTTATATAACTAGATTTTACGGTTTTTACATTGTGATATTCTGTTACAATATTTATTCACCTATTTTAGTGGGGAATCCAGTTTTTATTTTGAATGTTTGTACATTAGCATTTTTTCACATTTTTCTAGTCTTTAATGGACACCTGTTTTCTGGTACTTCACACCCACAGTGGTAGGTCTCTTTGAAGACTTATTCACAGGGTTGTCAATTCAGGTTGTTTCATATATATTTATAAAATATTTTTTTACATTTATCAAAAAACCTTTAGCGCTGTGACTACACTTCATACTTTCACATTCAACACCTCTCATAGCAGCTTTAGGACCACCATTTGAATATTTTAGTTCATTTTCCAAGAGCGCAGATTTTTGTTGTAATTAATACTGTAATGTGTGCCTTACTGTAATCCATGGTAGTTTCCCTTCTCTTTGCTGCTCTTCCTTTTAAATCCGTAGCTCTTCTCATGCTCTGCAGAACTTCTGTTTTGCAGCAGACTGCCTTGTCTCTGGAACAGCTACATGGTGTCTGTGTATAGGTTTGTAACCTGAGCCAGCACTACAGGAAGAGGCCCTGAGCTGCAAAGGGAAGTTCTCCTCAAGCATGAGAAGACATGAGGATTTAAAAGGAAGAGCAGAAAAGAGGAGGGGAAACAACTATGGATTACAGTAAGGCACACATTACAGTATTGGTTTATGTTAAAAAATCTGAGGGTTTAATGTCACTTTAAGCCCTATTGTATTCCAGAGTCCCACAGAGAGGTGGTGTACAAGGAGGGTAAAATGTAACATTGAGTAATTGGGCTCCTGATGCAGAAAAAGCCTTTCAGAGTCTGGGACAGGCTCTATGTTAGGAGCCAGTGCAAGTAGCACCAGAATTTCAGAAAACGTTCTTGGTCCAAACTGATCCTTACAGTGTAGCTCTTTGAGCTGTTTTGACTCAGTTAGTGATTAAACAGCATCTGATGGTGTATTTGAGTTGAAAGCTGATGTCAGCTGAAAGGAACTATAGCACTGTAGAGAGAGTGACCCCCTAAAAATCAGTGAGCACTGGAGGCTTTGTGATACTATGTCCTACGACGTTGCCTTAGACTAACACCAGACCATGCACCTGTACAATGGATGGCCCAGGCCAAAGAAGGAAACCCAAGAGTTACCTGCTGGTTTCTGGCTTTCCAAGATTTATCTTTCAAGGTTGAGCATCAGGCGGGTTCTTGTCAAAAAAATAAAGTTGCCCTCTCTAGAGCTCACTGTTTGGTAGCTGATGTTTGAACCACAGGTTCAAAGAGAGGAGTATGTAAAAAAAATAGCCCCTTTGGGTCCAGGACAACATCATAGATGAGGTTTACCTGCCTCCTGGACTGTGGCATTTTGTGAGATATCCTGGTGTATCGGTATACTGGGGTCAAGCAGTAGCCACTCCTCTTCCTCCACCTGCAGTAACTTCCAACATTTTTTATCTGAGATGAGTTGTAGTGTGCTAGAGAGAAAAACTGCATGCAGGCTGTGCTGGAACAGCATGCAGGTCTAAGCGGGCCAAATTAATCTTTTTAAACTAGACATGAGAATTGTTTCTGTTGTGCACTGAACTGTGCTGACATAGACCCCTGCATGGGAAACTCTTTAGCTTTTGTGTTTGATACAACATTAATAAATGGTAAACATGGGCAGGAACTCCTTAAAAGCACTTTAGGGTCTGGCCTCTCTCCTTGCAAGTTTGGAGATGACCCTTTACAGTATGCACACTATTTATTTCAGATCAGATTTCCTTTGAAGTTATCAAGGCATTTTGCTAAAATAGGATCTATTTCATCAATATAACTTGAAGTAATGTTGCATATTTATTTGTCTCATAGATCAGCTCAGTCTACAGCTTTCATGGCTGCCTTGGAGACCTTAAGCTCAATGGACGCTCTGTAACTTCTCCATCTCAAACATTCAGTGTGACACCTTGTTTTGAAGGCCCCACAGAATCCGGAACCTATATTTCATCAGAAGGAGGTTATGTGATTCTAGGTAATGACCTAGTGAATGAAAACTTTGTGCACACCAGCATTGCCCTGTCATGGCTGTCTGCTTAAATGTATTTCTTTGATATAGATATGTGGGTCAATACAGCTTGGCAATTATGTGATTCTTCCAGAGTCAGTGGAGCTTGAAGACTTGTATAGACTTCAGAAAAGGATAGATTTCCGTATACAGATGCCCTTCTAACATGAAGAACATGAAAAACAACTAAGATAGCAGTTTTCTTGTATATGTATTGTATGTTCACATCTGATACGGTTATTTTAGAAAAATACAGCACATGCTTGAGTAACATTGTTACATTGGAGAGCAAGCATTCACAACAAACCAATCTCTGTGACTGTCACTATGGTGACTGTCAAGTGAAAAGCAAGACATGAATACATGGGAAAAGCCTGCCTTTCAGAAATGGGGCAACACTTTTCATAGAATTAGTATTCATTAGTATTATAATTTCTACTGTTATATAATGTATATTATATAAACTGTAATAATAATATGCTAAAATATTCAGCACTTTTAACCCTTTCGTGACCAGATGCCCAGGCTAAATTTAACAGCATTGGCATCCGTTTACCTTGACAATAAATCTATGACTAATCTGCCCACCAAATAAGGATATACAAGGCTTATTTGGTACTCTGTTTTAATAAAAACGATGCTCCAATTTTTATTATAGGCTGACCAATGTACAAAAAATTTAAACATGCTGGTGAATAAAACCAGTGCAGTTAGCCAAAATCGATATATGCAAAGGTTTTTCTCATTAAAGCAAACTTGAGATCCTGCACCCTTTTCAGCATCATACAAGTAATTGCTTGTATGTAAAAGCAGGGTGCCAGCTAAAAAGAACAATACCAAGATCACAACTGCAGGACTGTAACAACTAACAAGTAACAACTTAAGGACTGCAACATTTATATTCATATTGCAGCCCTGAAGTTGTTAAACAACGTTTATTCATATATATTCTATGTTAAAATGTAGAGTGAGGAAGGTGTGTCAGACCTCAGGAGAAAGATCACTCCTTCCCCACAGTAGCAGTGGTCTTTTAAAAGAAAGCAAATTGTAAGACATTCAAATTGAAGGTTTAATTGAACTTTAAAGTGGCAATAAACTCAGGAGTTAAATCATAAAAATATATTCAAGAACCTTAACGATTAACAAGAATGTGTCTTATTTGTGTATCACTCAGCTGTGATCCTCAAATCATCTCTGAATTTGTGCTGACACTGTCCTTTCTTCTGGAGGGTGGCTACTTTTGTTCCCCATGGTCCCTGTGTGTTGTAAAGTAGCCACCGCTGCAAACTCACTCCTGTGATGGACTACAGTCTCAATACAAATTAGTACACTAAACATGAGATTATAGTCCATCGCAGGAGGGAGCATGGGAGATAAAAGTAGCCAACCTTTAGAAGGAAGTACAGTGTCAGCATGAATTCAGCTTCACAAATAAACTATATTTTTTGTTTATAGTTGATGTACTTGAATGTATTTTTAAGGTTTAACTCCTGAGTTTAATGTCACTTTATGGAAGCATTTGGAAGGTGATTAGTCGCCATTAGTGTGCTATGGAATACATTTCATACATGAGGCCAGGGTGAATTATGACATTAACCTGCAATTTTTACAACAATATTTTTCATGTTTTAGCGGAATCCTTCAACTCTGGAATAAAATTTGAATTAGTCATTGAAGTACGCCCCAGGAGTAACTCTGGAATTTTGCTTCATGTTCAGAATGTGAATGGTGAATACTTAAATATGCACATGAAGGAAGGACAGGTAAACAAAAGATTTTGGATTGTGTTGTAACCCACTCATATTCACCTTTACTGATGTCGCCGAGGATTATATTAGTTGAAAAATTAGCCTTTTTTCAAATAATTATTTTCTGCACAGTTCTTTTCCAATAGGCTCATTTACCAAATATGTATCTAAGGGCCTTTGAGGATACAAATGTAGGAGCTTCCACTGCTGACTTCTTTTAAAGGTACAGGCACCAGGGCTGTCATCCTGATCCTGACTTTAGTACCTGTGAGTTATTGACACAGAACAAGAATGCAGGCCAGAAGTTCAGGCTGTTCATACTTCACTGGATGTGTGCTTCTGGGTCAGAATCTGATTTGCCAATGAAACCAGGAATTGGAAAACAGTCGCAAAGCCTACTTCTTTAAAAACAAGTCAGCAGTGGAAGCCAGGAATTGGAAGACAGTCACACAGCCTACTTCTTTAAAAACAAGTCAGCAGTGGGAGCTGCTGTGTTTATTTGAATACGGATTGTCTTCAAAGTTGAACTCTGGTTAGATATAAATGATAAAACAATGCAACTCTGCATTCGTGAATACATCAATATGTGTATTGTTTTAAATACAAGCTGTATAGGTAACTAAATATGACTTGTTATCTGCCTATAGGGGGGTGAAGGGAGATGAGGCACAATCAGTTGTGCTGCAGTGCTCATATACTAACAAGAAGCATGCTGATAGGAGGAGAAAACATGATGAAGAGATGAGATCTTCACTCTGCTGCTTCTCCTTTTACTGTCCAGTCAGAGGCTGGGGGAGGGGCACGGCCTGTAAATGTTACTTAAAGAGTAATTCCACTTTCCCAGGCAAATTTGGGAAGATGTAATTAACCCCACCAATCTGCCCCCCTTTCCCCACCACTGCTCTTACCTGTCAGCGATCGCTCCTTCCCCTCCACCGCTGCTGGTGGCGACTCAATGAGTGCTCGTCATTAGCAAGCAAGTTTTGAAATACAAATCGCAGGGCTGCAATCCCATGTATGGAGTTATTACACCATCAGTGCTAGAGAAGAAGGAGCTATCCTTGACAGGTAAGAGCAGCGGGGGGGGTGGCAGATTGCTGGAGGTAATTTCATTTTCCCAAATTCAGCTGGGAAAGTTAGAAATTACTGCAGCAGGGATAACGCAGGCATTGTGCCCTGCAAGAGTTGTGTTGCAGAGCTATGTAAAACGCAACTGGATTGACAGAAAGATAAATCCTTTGACATCTCAATATACAAACCTTTGCTGACAATCTAACATATATGTCCTTCACTATTTATCCAGATTTGCTGCTACTCCACTGTTTGCTGACATCCAGTGCTGCAAGTCTCCCTCTCCTGGCCACTTCCATTTCCCAGTCTGAAGATGGCCCCATAATAGGTCTATGGGGCTGTAATGTGCAGGTGGGGCCAGCAGAGGGAGCATTGTTGCACATGATGTAAACAATAGTGTACCCTTTTCCCGTAAGATCTCGGTAAGTACAGACCTGAGGAGGGGGAAGGAGGGATTGTTTACATCAGGGGACGGAGGGGGTAAAAAGAATAAGCACACTTTGCTTTAAACTGTACTTGCCATTTAAAACAAGTTTTCTGGAATCCCATTGCATCCTACAGTTGTGTTAATATAAATGCTCTCTAGGGCCCAGGTGTCTTTACTTTGCAAGCAGGAATAGCTATAGATCACCAGTCATACCATCAATAATTTCAGCCAAATTCCCTTATCCCCTCCATTTATAGATTATTTTCTACATTTTATTGAAAAATACACTGTGTATGTGCCTAGACCTGTAGCTTATACAAATTATTTATTTAAAACTCAATGTGATTTTTTTCTTCACAAATATGTTCTTACTTGCAATACAGGTTTTTGTGAAAGTAAAATTTGGCAATAAAGAATTTTCAACAAATGTCATTCCAAAACAAATCCTCTGTGACGGCCAGTGGCATCGAATTGCAGGTTTGTATTAGATACAATGATAAGACTTCTGCTACAGTTATACGGCATAGTCATTTATCTATTGCTTTATGTTATCTTATTTAAAAAAAAAATATTTTCCTGCTCGAATAAATTTACACTATACACTTGCACTTGAAATTTTTTACTGAGCCCTTTAGTTTACAGCTTTTCTTGTACAGGATGTAAAGGTAGGAGTGTTTTAGAGTGTAACTGTGGGCCAAGCTGCACACCTGATGTCTCAAGGTCCCTATAAATATTGTTGGAGGCTAATTTTGTCTCTTCTATAAATGAAGTGCTACAGTGGAAGTACAATATTTTGATTTAGGATTTCAAAATATACAGCAACTAATAATGCATTCTAATATGTTCCAATAAAATAAGCATACAGCCTTATATTTGCATAAGGAACCATTTTTTAAAAGGTTTATCCAGTCACCACCGGCAATGAAATAGCTAAAAGATATGCTCTTTATTTACTACAAATATGCTAAAGACATATAAAAGACATTACATGTTAAACATTCAAGAGAGTAGGGATCCACTGACCACTTTCTCTTTTCCCACACCGGCTTGCTTTTGCTGCTGGATGATCCGCTACGGACTACAATGCCTTTGATATTGGCTGTACATCCTGTCCTGCTAAGTATCATTGCATTTGCCATCACTACTTTGAAGTGGATGGATGGTGATTTGTTATTTATATGACTTTGCTATTGATTACCTCTTAAAGAGCAACTGTTTTATTTGATGCAGGCTACTAATTTGGTCAATATATGGCCATTACTCCATGTGGGACATTTTATACTCAATCATATTTATGACAATCGTGACATAAGGTGTTATACAATCCATTGACAATACTTACCACCACACCTTTTGCTTTACACATTTCATACCCAAATGTCACCTAGTTTTGTACCATCGGTCACAATCTTATTTGGAACATTTGATGCATAATCAGCCTGTGGCAAGTGTTATATTAAAAGCACCATTTCTGCCCCGTATACAGTACTAATTTTCAATACTGGATAAACATTGCTATATGCAAGTTGCATTTGTGGATTTAAATATATACCTGGATAGTGAATCATCAACCACTATATTATTTTTGTTAGACTTTCCTACACGGCGACTTAATGAGAGGACATCGCCATCTTTATTATATAGATGTGACTTAATAGGCGAGGATATATTCTTATATGAGACTGCTTAATTTTCATGGTAAAACGTGTTATGTTGCGCTCGGTCTGTGCACAAACCAATATCCTAATATACGAAAGTGAGCAACGTCTATGTGTTCCTATAACATTGCCATATCTGAAATTATAAAAAATATTATAGTGAAGGCTCTTATATAGTGATCTATATGACCTGTGTACGTGTCAAATCCTGTGTATCGATTCCCATGTGACTTGGAATCCCCTTACTTGATTAAATTATATTAGCATCAGTGTTGTTGGCTGATCTATTTCATGTATTTGTCTATTTACATAGCAAACTTGTGGTTCCAAACATGTAAATCCAGTGACAATGCAACTTAGGGGTCTATTCACAAAGCTCCCGAAGGATCTGGCCGTAGCTACAATAGTAACACTGTTGCATATCTAGCATATGATTCCAACCATATAAATCGGTGTAGATATAACTTAGTATCCTACATTGACATAGTGCAAAAACATTGTTGTTTCAATCTTTAACCAGTGATCGTCTGTGAGCTGGACAATTAATTAACAGAAAAAGAAAACAGAAAAAAGGAGGAAAAAAGGGACGGGAATAGATTGACTTCCCTTTGTTCAGAGGCACCATTTATAAAGAAAGTTCTATTCGATCTTGTCCTTATAGTCCACCAACTGTTTCTCAAGCTATCTCCTCTGTTGTTCTAATCAGTCGCCTCCTCAATCTTATGCGGATAGGCAGACTGACCGCAGCTTTCTCCTTCCCCTCCAATCAGTTCCCTTCAACCCTTATTCGTGGTGGTATTCCCCCACAATGTCTCAAGAGAACGGGATATAGGGAAGAGGAAACACAAAAAAAGCCTAAGTGCAATAATAAGCAATTAAACGAAGAGAGTCATCTGTTGTGAGAGACCAAGGCAAGCCGTTCCTTAATTTTCATGTCATTGGAGTCAATTCCAAATAACCTTGGCTGAGGGAATATTCCAGGCAGTGTGTTCATTATTGGAGATATATTTAGCTGTTCCTTGAGTTATTCATCATTCATTATTTATATATTTAAAGAACCAAAATCAGACGTATTCACATGTGTGGGATGTGATCATGTGGAGTCTATAGGTTTTGCTAAAGAAACGGATTGTTACATATATAATTGACTTATAGATTGAGAGAAATGAGATTAGAGAAAAACAACAATTTCTTTCTGATTTAAATTTATTTTAAATACAAGCTTAGTAAATTATCTCTCCAGTCCCAATACAATTGCAGGTTTATCACAGCAAAGCTTGACAAGTCGTGTAGCGGGATAAGCCGTGGACTTTGTTTCTATTGTTGAATATATTACAAAACAAGTGATTATTATATACAATTTTTCTGAGAATAGTTCTGTGGTATGTTACAGTATATATTTGCTTACAGGTACAATGATTGGTATGTATTGTCTTTTATACGTCTTTAAGCATATTTGTAGAAAATAAACAGTATATATTTTCGCTATTTCATTGTCGGTGGTAACTGGATAAACCTTTAGAAATTGTTCCACATGCAAGATTATACATGAAGGTACTGGTTTCCATCCAGAATAATACATGACTCCTTTTTTGGATATAATATTCCTCAGGAGTTATTTATATTTTCATTCAAATCTAATATTTGCAACTGAGTGTTATCTTTTTGGATAAGATTCAACTGCTGCTTCTAGATTCAGCTTCTGCTTCTATGATCTAGGAACACCAGCCAAATCGTCATTGTCACCGCAGCTCCTAGTCCCATGCCACCATTACATTTCTGGCAAGACAAAGAGCTGCAGTGTGATTTGTTGGCTGAGAAATCACAGTGCATGCTCCTACTCTCTTGGAGCCTAAGGTTGCCCACAGACTTCTGAGGGGGCAATCATGCATGCACATTCCTATTGCCATGAGGCACCAGCAGGAGATAAACACTGGCATATTCTGCCAATGCTATTAGGGAGAATAGCTGTCGAGACAAAATGGTAAATGCACTGTGGGTCCAAATACAGAATGGCAAATCAGGAATGTGCTAAAGGAAGAGTTAGGGTATATATGTACAAGAACTCTCTTGTAGCCCAAGTAACATAGACGTTGCAGTCTGTATCACAGATAGTATTATACCTGACTGAGATGAATCAATTAAAGTTTCTGACAGAAAGATAGAGAGCCCCTGGATTTCTCAGAGTGTTGTAGACACCCTTTAGAATTGTGTCGTCACCTTGCATGACAAATCCTGGGGCTTGTGACAAATTCATGTTCCTGTGAGAAACAGGCACACTCATTTATAATATGGAGGCATGGATGGGTGGGGGGCATTGAGGCCACCTAGTACATGTTCAACCCACAGGCTGCACATTGTCATTGGTGACATAACGCTGTCTGTTGCATAAAACCCTTGGTTGCTATGACACTGTCATATACACAGCACCATTGGTTGTTATCATTGTTGTGGTGCTGTGTAGCTGAGAGCATCCTAGTAACCTAAGACATTTTGCAGCTGACAGTGTCATAGCAGCCAACGGCATCATAGCAACCAATGGCGCTGTGGGCTGATAGCATCCTTGCAACCAATGAGACTGTGCCAGCTGCATCCTAGCAACTACTGATGCTGTGGTCCAACAGTACCCTAGCAACCAATGACACTGTGGATTGGCAGTGTCCTAGCAACCAATTACACTTTGCACCAACTTCATCCTAGCAACCAGTGACAGAGGGCAGCATGGCCCTGCCTACTCCGAAATTACATCTTAATAACTTCTAGATTTTTGTACTCAAGAATGTCAGTATTTGTTAATGAATTTGTTGCAGCCATAGCAACTATTACATACGTGTAGCAGAATTTAGTAGATTTGTCATGTCAGCATTTACTATGTAACTTTCACAAATCTTTTAGAATTTGGTGCAAGAGTTCTAGATGCAGCCATAATGCCAGAATCATGCCACAAGCCTTTACTGAATCACCCCCAGTCTGTCCTACCCTATAGCAGGGGTAGCCCAATTTCGCCTCTCCAGCTGTGGTGAAAACTACAAATTCCACCTTGCTTCTGTAAGTCATGCCTGTGGCTGTCAGAGACTTGCAATGCCTAATGGAATTTGTTTCACCACAGCTGGAGGGCCGAAGTTTTCTACCTCTCCCTTAAAGCAACCCCTTGTAGTGTAGGAAAATTAGAGGAACAATGTGGTTACAGTGGGGCAATACAAACTGCCTGTATTCCAGAATCCTGCTGCACTCCTTACCAAGTATGCCTGTCAGCGTGGGTGCTCGAAGTGACCGCGGATGGCAAGTTACAAAATACAAATTGCCTGAGACAATTATTGTTTTAAGTTCTTTGATACAGTTAACAATGTCTACAATGTCATACAGTCCATATGCTTACTATCCTTACCATAAAAGTGTTCAAATAAGGAAAGACTGATTGATAAATCTTATTGAATTACTAATTTTTCTTTATATGGATATTTTTTAAATAAATGTAAGCATATAAAGTGACAAGTCCTAATAGATGAGTGACAACTATAACTGTAACACATAATATCCAGGGCTGTCTTTACCACAGGGCAAAAGGGGCAACTGGCCTGGGCCCCATAATTTACAGATGCCCACAGCAGCCATACCTTTCATCCGAGCGACAAACAGAACAAACAAAGTGGCACTACCGATGGGGAGACTGGCTAGTAGCGGTTTCCAGCCTGTCAGTTCAGAGGCTGGAAACCAGCCTCAACCTGCAGTGATTACCTCCCTTGATGTCTGTCACATAGATCCAGCAGGCACAGAGGAGAATGAGGTGGAGGGCACAAAAGTATTATTCTATTATCAAGTAGTACAGAACAAATGTACCAGTACGTGATTATATTAGTAAAATCGGTATTGCATTTACATTGCATGTCCCAAAACATTTGTTGCATGGTTCACTGCATTTTCAACATATGCATTCTACAAAAAATATAGACATCGTCCATTGCGCATACAGGGGTCTGGTTAGGGAAGTGGGGAGGAGGTGATGGAAGCGGGAGGGTTGTGGGGGCCCATCGGCAAAATCTTGCCCAGGGCCCAATTAATATTAAAGATGGTCCTGATAATATCTGACAATATAGCAGAATCATAGCAGCAACAACAACGTGTACTTACAACATTTCCTGTTTATTATTGCAGTTATAAGAGATGGCAATGTGCTGCAGCTGGACGTGGACTCTGAGATCAACCATGTCGTGGGTCCCCTGAACAAAAAGCTAGTTAACCTTAAAGAGCCTGTGTTTGTTGGAGGAGTTCCAGGTAAGAATGGCCACAGCACAACATCCCGTGCACAAGTTCCTCTTGTTTGCTTGGTTTTCATTCTAAATATATTGGTGATTATTAACATTTTTTGTCTTTTATGCTTTTTTCCCTCCCTTTTAGATTCCTTGCTTGCGCCAAGTCTGACAACAAGAAACTCATTCACGGGCTGCATCCGCAACTTTGTGATAGACAAGCAGCCAGTGAGTTTTAGCAAAGCCTCCCTAGTCAGCGGAGCAGTTAGTGTAAACACCTGCCCTTCATCCTAACGGTGGCAATGTACATTTAACTTTGTAATAAATACATGTTCTAATAAAGATTGTCCCTTTTAATATACAAAATAATATGTTACGGTGAAACGGTATGAGAAGATGTAACACACTGCTCAGCTATATAATCCTCCTTTGAGGACAAATAATCAACTGCATTATAACACACTCACCAAATTCATTTCTTGGTGATGTTGGCTTTGCTTTGCACATATGAAACATTTTAATATATACATAATGAAGGTCTTGTCTACTTTAAACATATATGCCTTATTTTAGAACTAAATCATTAAAATAGACTAACTACTACAGTAAAGACACCTTTGTGACTTTGTGAGTGCGATCTCACATTCTACAAAGTCGTATAGAAGTGACATTTCAGGACCGATCAGCTGTTCCAGGGCAGATCGGTTCTCCTGCACATGCAATCTGCGATGCCGATCTATCCTGGAACAGCTGAGAAAACATTGGAATTCTTCACCTTTTGCCGGTCACATATTCCACCGCAGAAAAAGTGGGCATGATTAGGTTACAATGTGTGACCACGTCATCGGTCATGAATTCTAACAGTCACAAAGTTTGATATAACACCCTGACGAATGATTTGGAATGACTGGTTGAATGAAATTCTAATAGTGTATGGCCGGCTTTAAGCAGGTCTGACCTACTCTAATCTGACTGATTTTCATCCAGACCATAAAGCTGTACATACATGGATCACATTTCAGCCATTTCCTGCTGAATTGGGCAAAATGTGGACGACTCTGCCAGCATCACCTGGCTCGACAAATTAAATTCTTTTTAATTCGTCTTTTGTCAAAGGAGCCAGGTGAAAAAATAGTTGGCCTGAAAGAAACTGCAGCCAATCAGATGTTGTTATTGTTCTGTAATTCTGACAACCACGGGCTGTCAGGGCAGGGGATATGTTCAGCATGGATGGAGGAATTGAGTGTTTTTTCTCGTTCAGCCCCTGCGAAGAATGGCCAGCTGTAAAAGGCAACCTGGCTATATATACTGAGTGGCCAGTATATTATGACCACCTGACGTTTGTAGGCAAATTGGCTATAATTAGCTATAATTTTGCGCTGAAGTTGCTAGAGGGCCAGACCATTATAAATAGGGAAGCAGGTTGTTTACCACGACAGTAGAAATTATTTTTTTCTGAAGATAAGGGTAAACAACGCGATTTAACAGCCTTTGAACGTGGGATGATTGTTGGCGCTCTGAGCCACGGAGCGAGTATCAGCAAAACAGCAGAATTCGTTAAATGTTCAAGAGGGGCTCATTGTTAGTGTTTAAAGACTGGACTGTGAGCCAAAAATCTGGGTCTGAACGTGCGAATTGTGGCCGTTGGCGACTAGTCAATGTTAGGGCAGAACGGAGAGTGGCAAGACTGGTACAAGACAACAGAAGGGCAACAGTGCAGTGTCAGATTCCTTGCATCACCTTTCAACATCTCGTGGAGTCACGAGGCGGCCCAACGAAGTCATCTCGTGGAGTTATCTCGTGGCCCAACGAAGTACTGATGGGGTGGTCATAATAATCTGGCCACTTAGTGTATGGTACACTGAATACCAGTTGAGCCCTTCTGGCAAAAGTAGGAATTGACATACTGCCATTCCAGACCTATAGGAGCTTAAAGCAGGCTCCCAGTATGCAATCGGCATGTGTGTGTCAAAGGGTGGAAATATTTATTTGTTAGATATTAAAGTGTATGTAACCCTTACAATGAGCTTCTCTTATTTCCTCCCATTTGGTTTGTGAAATAAAATATAGGGGAAGGCATTGAAAATGCTTGTTATATCTGTTTGATAGGTGCATGCTGAAGAGATGCCAGCTGATCCTGCTAGAAATTTAGGTGATAACTTCCTGTGATTTCTGCCTCTGCTGCAGTTATCAGTTAGCATTGTTCCCTCTGTGGACCATAGAACACCTATCCCTATGTTATGGAGAAGACGAGAGAAGGAAGTGTTTTGCATTCACAGGACAGAGGTGTGTTGCTCTCAGGATCACTAGGTTCAAATAAAGGGGAACAATTCTAAACATAGATAACAAATGCTGCCACCACATGTAAGGTTTGGCAAGCTGCAATATATATTGCATGTTCAATCTTGGATTTTCACACACTTTAATGTCTGTAAGTACAACCAACATTTTCATACGGGTACTCTTTTAAAAACAAAAGCAATGCGATCCTTCAAACATTCAGTTGCATAATGTCATTTTTTTTCAAGGAATCATATAAATGAAAAAGAATCAGTTACATTATGTACTTTATGGCATCAATTCAATGGCATTATAAACGTGGACCTAAGTGTTGATTTATGAGTTATGATTGACTAAATGAGGTTAACAAATCTAAATAAAAAACTATTTTGGAGGCAAAGTATGTTTGGTGTTGAGTTAATGGAGAATTCCATGCAAAACACAAAAGGCGGTCATTACAATTTAAAGCGAAAAACCTATTACCTCTTTGGCTTAGTTTCTGTTTGCAAGAGAAAAATAAATAATAAATAAAAATAAATGCATTTTTGAGCATGTAAAAAGAAAAAAAAGTCTGCCTCAAGGAACATCCTATTTTTGTAGATTGCAAACAACATTTTATTAGATATAGGGGTAGGCAATCTCAGCAGTGCAGCTGTGCTGAAACGACAAATCCCATCATGCATCTGAGTTGTAGTTCCACATCAGCTGGAGTGCCAAGGTTGCCTACTCCTTCCTTAGATATAATGCAATTCTCTCCAGAAGAAACACCACCAGTAAATGGAAACTTGCCATCTGCTGCAGGGATCTGATGTGTAGATTTTAAACTACACTGAGCAGGTGACAACTCACAAAAAAACAACAGCCTAAATAAATAGTTCTTGTGCTCAATTTTAAATAAAATAGAAAAAAAACTCACTGGGTTGTAGGGATTTCTGAAAGATAAACATGCAAAGTCTCTTCTGCTAAAAACCTTTCTTACTCTTTTCCAATAATTTTTTTTATTTTCTTTGTACACTGGCATCTTTAAGATGGTGTTGGGGAGGATGTAGCACTTGTGAGCATGCACAGGTGCTACATCATCAGTGGCCACACAATGGGCAAAGAGGACTTCTGAGAACCTGGTAGTGTTGGCGGCGGTGGGGGACAGAGCTGAGGACTGGAGATCAATCCAACAGCACTGGATAGGGGCACACTTGTAAAGGTAAGTGTGCCCTACTGTGTTGTGCATACAGAAAACTTACAAGTGCAAAAGATTTACAAAGCAGTATACCTTTTCTTTATGTGCTGTTTTTTCATGCCAACCAAACAGAATCCATCTTCTACTGGTATAAGAAATTTCTGTTTAATATAGCTGAAAGCATTTTATTTTCAAGTTTTTAGTGTTTTAGGGTGTAGAAAGTTGTCCATCTCTAGCTCATGATTCCCTCTTATTGGAGAATGCTAAAAAAATATTGTCTATACCAGCGCTCGCAACCTTTTTTCAGTGATGACACACTTTAAAGTATACAAAATCCTAAGGCACCCCAGCCTAATATGTACAAAAAGTAAATGTTCTGTCTCCGCTTCACATTATCCTGTAGCTTGTATGTAACTCGACATGTAGCTAAACAGGGTGGTGAAACTGGTGGGGAAAACATAGGAACAGACCATCAATATGTAGAGCATGTAAATACAGTGGTATTTAAAAAGCACAATCCCCTTAATGTAGAAATCCCAGAGCGATCCAATGAGCAAGTAATTCAATAGTATATAAGATATCAAACATATTTTATTTGAACATCAAACGGTATAAAGGTAAAGCACCTAATACATGACATTTCAAAATTGTTTAAAACAAAGACACAGCCTCCCTAAGATGGCCCAAATAACAGGACAGGGCAGTCAGGGTTAATGTATCAGCAGGATGACAGGCAGTCACTGGTATGAGCAAATGCACTGTATTACAACAGTGGATACAATTGTATCGATATGTAGCAAAGTTACTCACTTATTCATCTGTGGTCAAAGAGGGAGAGAAACTCCATCCGGGATTCCGTAATAGATGTCGGGATAGTGTCCCGATAGGAGATGCTTGTGTAGTAATTTGTAATCCTGGTAGTTGTTTGTTGTAATGTTGAAGGTTTACATGGCTTTTTTCATGATTGATCCGGAGCACACATTACCCGAAGGGCTACACCTCTTGCCTCGTATGTAGTAGACAGCCCAAAGATTTCCCTTATAAGTGCGGCCGCACATAGAAACAGGGACGGATAGTATTCCAGGGGCAATATGTCCGGAGAGGCACTGGGTCGGGAGCCTGACTGAAGTTAGAAAGATGTGCATAAGTCGGCTTCACTCGATCCCAAATCAAAGCCGGTACTTTGTGCTGTTGCTGCGCTGTACATGCAAGCCTCGCTCAATGCGATCAATGTGATCGCTTATAAGTACTGAGACAAACAGGTCCATTCCTACCAGTTATTCGGTCTAAAGGGATGTAGGATTCCATCCTCCCTGAACATGTGCCACAGGTGGTAATGACTTCCTCAGTCTAAGAGATGGAGTCTGAGCTTCTAAGGTGCACTTGTTCCTCTTCTTTGGCTGAGGAATGATGGGAGCCTTTATTAAAGCAAACCAGTCTGAAGCTGCTATAAACAGATATATTTTCTTCAGGCTCCATCTAGTGGCTGAATTTGATACTGCAGGAAGGTAGACAGTTATTTTTCCTGCTTGAGGCAGAAGAGAAAAAATACAAATGTGCATGTGGTCCCCCCCAAAATCTTCACCACATCCTTATGCTAAATAGGGGTCTGGTATGAATTTTAGGGCGACTCCACGCAAAAATAAAAAACATGAAATTGCCCCCTTCACGACTAAGTCCCCCCTTACACATCATGCAAAAGCAGGGTTGCCTTGTCGCACTCCTTACCGTAGATCCCCAATCCAAAAGGGGGGGTGCTCATAATGACTGCGGATGGGGCCACCAGACAGTGTTGGTAGATAGAGGTCACCAGCACACCAAAAGGATTTGAAGTCCAAAGTGTGATTATTTAAAACGTCATGTCATCAGAACTAGCGCTTTTGGCATTGCTGAGCTTGATGAAGGGGACCCTGCACGGCCCCGAAAGCGCTAGTTCTGATGACATGACGTTTTAAATAAACAATCACTTTGGACTTCAAATCCTTTTGGTGTGCTGGTGACAT